CGAATTTTTTAAAGCTGTTAAATAAACTTTATAATGAATTAGGTGAATAAAAACATCATTTGATTTATAGTTATAACGGAAAATCATCGTTTGTAAAGTGGAAGGCATAGAGTCTATGTGAAATGATCATTGGTCAATAATGAAACCAGCCTTTTTCATAATTTGGTTTTCTTTTAACAATAATTTTAGATTTTCTATAAAATGATATTCCAGGGCCCTACAGGTTATATATAGCATAAATATGTGAAGTACACCTGCAGTATGGAAAGAGTACAACAAAATGGCCGTTTTACACTTTTTTCCAGTAAATTCCTCTCTATATATTCTATTCTCTATGGTAGTTAGGTTAATCCCAAAACATGTTTTACGTACTTAGGTTACAGACAATGTACAACATAATTTATCTAGGTATGTTCAGGTTTATAAATATGGGGTTTACTACGATATTTATTACATATTTGTAGACCAAAAAAAAAATATAATCTTTCTTCGTAAAATGTCGTCTCAAATCAAATCACACTCCGGAACCCAACCCCAACCTTTTCTCAGGTAAATAAAATCGACGCGTGAAAAGTGAAACACATTTTAATTTAGTAGATGCTTAAAATCCGTGATTATTGCTGTAAACAACAAATCTTTGTAACCAAACGGGTATTTTATTTTATATTTTTTATTTTATATATTATATATATGTTCTATTTGGTTTTACATTCTCTTTTTGTTTTTATTTCTTATATTGAAATCAACGCAAGTTTATGGAATCCAAAAATGGAACTCGGGAACTTTGCTCAACGATAGTCTCCGGAATGTCTTATCTGCTCTAAACACCTTTCGAAACTTTTGAACTATTTCTCTATTAACAGACATTCTGCAATATCCGATTCAGCCATAATCAATAGAAATATGATAATAGAGGAGGTCATCAATCATCTTTTTTGAGGTTCCACAGTAGACGGAACCAACCCCAGTATTCATGGTGTCAATTGAGTCCAAATATGAAAAAAAAATATTTGCCCAATAACATTTTGCGCGGAGCATTTTCCAGTTTACAGTAAAAATGTGCTTTTTAACATATCTCGTTAATTTAAACTTTAAAAAATATTTTTAAGGTCGAGACCCCCCTATAAAAAATCCAAATACACATTTTTAATCTTTTACAATTGTTTATGCGTAATTTGGGCATTAATAAATTAATTTTCAAAAAAAATATTTATTTTCCAATTCTTGCAAGCTCACAGAGCGGTTAACTAAACGATATTTAGCGTTTAGTACGGTTTTCGGGCAACAATGAAAGGTTTTAAAAATAAGATTTGATTGTTAATGAAGACGACATTTAAAAACTCGTCCGGTGTCACGTTAAATAAGGCCTGGGCGTTATATTTGGTCCGGGTGAGTGTTACATGTGAAATCCATGTACAAAATTGATAGGAGGTCAGAGAACCCGCAACTTCAATTTATTATTGTTATCGGTCCAAGTTTTCAAGAAAAACGTTTTGAAAAGTGCATGTAACCCTTTATGTGGAAGGTAACTTGATATTAGGGGGGTCAGTCCCTTTTCAAACTATTTCTTTTAGAGGATATACTGCGGTTACTGATGAGATGGAGGAGGGGCTATTTATTGATCCGTATTCTGTTGCTCCGGTAGATAAAATATTTTATTCAATTTTGGAATCATAACATCTAATATTTCTCCGTTGATGGGCGATTAAGTTACTTTATATACCTCCTATTAAATAAATTAAGTGAATAATATTACCCATAACAATGACAACAAATTTTGATGGAGATTTGACATGGTCAAAACCCGGTGTCACGTTAAATAAGGCCCGGGCGTTATATTTGGTCCGGGTGAGTGTTACATGTGAAATCCATTTACAAATTTGATACAAAATAGGATATAAAAAATCGTATATTAGGAAATTACCGCTGGTTATGTACAAAATTGATAGAACGGGGAGGGGGGGGGGTCCAAAAATTGTTTACTTTGACGGACCCAAAGCATGAACATTATCATTGTTATTGAAATTGTTATAATTTTTTGTCTGGTAGGCCATAAAATTAAAAATTAGAAGTACACACATTATGTACATTATTTAAGCATGTCACTCTTGTCCAGACTAAAATTTTAAATATGTTTAAGTTTACTAATGCCGTTGATACTGATAGTTTTATATACAGGGTGTCCCAAAAAACATGGGATATCAGTGACGAATTTGATATCGTCTTTGTTATGAATTAGCATTGTAATACCTAATTTCAAAAGCCATAATATTATTATGTCTGCTAGAGCTTATTTAATGAAAAGGGTTAAAGACTGTAAAGATGTGTCCATAATGTCTCCGCAAGATGAACAGTGAAGACAGACAAGTTTACTCTGTTTGTATAATGCAATTTTCTTGTTTTACTAAGTACAACTGTATGCAGTCAAAACATAAACAAACAAAATGTAAACATAGCAGACGAAACTCTTGCAGATTACAGCTTTCTCAGTAGGTATCAGTATCACTACACTAAATCAAAGAATTATTTGAAAAGACGATATCGAATTCGTCACTGAATTCCCATGTTTTTTGGGACACCCTGTACTATATCGTTTTTGCTTAGGTCGTCTTTGTATTGCATCCGGGTCAAATATTACCCCGGTCTGGCCGTAACGCTACACCGGGATTTTACGCCAAGGTCATTTTGGTATAAAATATATATTTATGTGATTGTAAAGGGTGTTATTAATTGCGAAAAAGTTTTGTCGGGATTTTATTTTTTCTAGTTTTTTTTAAGATCAAAATGAAAAATATTTTTATTTTGATCGAAATAAAACTAAAAAAAGTAAAAATAACAGCAAAAACTTTTTTAAACGCATGATACCCATTACTATTTTTATCTAATTTTACTCAACTTAACTAAAAGTTGGTCGATAAAGTTACTTAATAACCCTGTTGTAGGGTCATTAATTAACTTTATCACCATACAATAGGAAAATTAATTATACAATTTGAAATTTTAATAGCAGTAAAAAAGTTAATTTTTCGTCCTGTTGTAGGGCGATAAATTCACTTAATCACCCTACAACCGGAAATATCAGGCGTAATAAATTCCCTCAAAATTGAATAAAGTATCTTAAGCATGAAAAGTGTGGGGGGACAATGCCAGTACCCATAATTTGGAGAGAGTACTCCCCCGTATTTTACGAAGTGAATGTTATCTTTTTTCCAGTAATGATAACATTTATTCCGTAATTGAAGCATTTTTGTTGATTTTTCAAAACTACTTTTCATTTCTTATTTAGTTTTGTAAACAGCATCCTCCGGGGGGAGGAAGGCCAACCACATCAATCTCTAGTCCGAACCACATTCTCATCATTTTCCTCGTCCTTTCAATATTATTTTTTTTTAAGTGTCCGATCCTTGAAAATAAATACATTTTTTAAAAATATGGCGACGTTAGGGCATAGATGAAATATCAAATTTTCCCAATTAAATTTTAGATTTGTGTAAAAATGAAAACGCTCCATAAACGATGTTCTACAAAAAAGCGTCTGTTTAAGAGCCCTTTCTTTTGAGGAAAATGCCGCAAAACATTCTCAAACTCGATGTAAACAACTTTTTGTAATATTCAAGCTGAATTTGGGTTAGAGATATGACTTACAATTTTTATATGATTAAATACTGTTTGAATTCATAGGGTTGTGACCAATTAATTGTAGCAAATGATTTGAATAATATAAATTGAACATTATTTTTTCTATAATTTTAAGCATGCGGCAGGCAGTAGTGATCTTTTAGTGGGGACAACAAATCTACCTTATTTGTAAATAAATCAGAAATCAATGATTATTTTGTATGGGTTAAAATGGAAAGATTAAAGACCATGTTCACGCGAATTCTTTGGTATACATTTTTATTTGTGAAAGTTATCCATTTTGGAGGCAGAAAAGATTCAATTTTTAACCTAAATAATGTTTGACGTCATTCTCGTGGATTTGAAGATTCCAACATCTCAAAATCCTTAGAAAACTTTATTCTTGTCATGTTTTATGCCCTAAAGTCGCCATATTTTAAAAAAATGTATTTATTTTCAAGGATCGGACACTTAAAAAAAATTATATTGAAAGGACAAGGATTTCGATGTGGTTCGGACGAGAAAATGGTGAGAATGTGGTTCGGACTAGAGATTGATGTGGTTGGCCTTCCTCCCCTCATCCTCCTCTAAAGCATAATTTGTATATTTTGTCATTTTGTCACTATTTAGGTGTTGTAAAAAGTGTACAACAGACCTGTAAAATAAGGCGTAAGAACAGGATTAACCACAAAGGTTGAGAATTCAGAGACGACTGTACGGAATTTATTAAGAATTATATTTCATACAGTCAAGATTATTGTTTCTTTTCAATCTCATTCATTTGACCCTTAAAAGACAATTTTCAAATCAAAAGACCATATTTAACCTTCAAATCGTCATATCTAAGGAGCTTTAGGTCGTCATTAAAATCTCATCCTTTGAGGATAACCTTGTATATTAGACAGTGGGTGGATAATTCCATGTTTGCAAGCCCTATCCCTGTCATAGGTTCCGACTACGGGATATCCAACAGAAAATATATCTATTTATACTTTGCTTGTCTATCTGTTTATTTGTATTCAATACCGTCAAAACTGCTGAACCGATGTTGTCTCTAATAATTTTCAATTTTCCTAAAGTTTTGAAAATCCACAAAATCAAAATCGTAAATCCGCAATTTTTTTATTATTTCATCAAAGAGAAAATTCTGAAAGATTGAGCATCAATTAAAAGTTGAAATAGAAGATGGGCGCGCAGCACCCTGATAGCTATAGTATATATAATACTTTGGACTACACAAAATATGGAATTGCTTAATCTCTGTATTCCACAACAAAAGTTTTAACCATATATGGCACAATTTCAGAGGAAGTTTTTGTTTAGACAACTTTAGTTCTTTTATTACTTGTTATGACTTGATGATTTTAAAGTGAAAGTGAACCTTTAATTAGTAATAATTTATTGTTCTAAACTATGCACTAATAAATACACTAAAGCCAATTCCATTTGCAAAAACATCTACTTATTCTATTTGCCATATCGTGGAAACCGGAAGCTACGACGGTTGAGTCGGAAGTTATGAGGGTTGATTCGGAATCTACTAGGATATAGTCGAAATCTACTATTTCCTCCATTTTCAATAGCTCCCCCCCATTTTTTAGTTGGAGTAATTTTTGAGGGGCGACCTCCTGTATCCTTCGTCCCTGAGTCGGTATTCTCTCCTGAGTTGGTATCCTTTGGCCCTGAGTCGGTATTCTCTCCCGAGTTGATATCCTTTGGCCCTGAGTCGGTATTCTCTCCTGAGTTGGTATCCTTCGGCCCTGAGTCAGTAACCTCTCCTGAGTTGGTATCCTTCGGCCCTGAGTCAGTAACCTCTCCTGAGTTGGTATCCTTCGGCCCTGAGTCAGTAACCTCTCCTGAGTTGGTATCCTTTGGCCCTGAGTCGGTATTCTCTCCTGAGTTGGTATCCTTCGGCCCTGAGTCAGTTACCTCTCCTGAGTTGGTATCCTTTGGCCCTGAACTGGTATCCTCTCCTGAGTCGCACTTTCGAGACTCATCTCCAACCTCAGCCATTCTGAATCGGTTTCGCAAAAATACAGCAGCAGTGTTTGACAGCTTTTCATCACCAGTAGGCGTCCCAGTTTCAGGTAAAATAACTGCTGGGTTAGCATAAAAGTTTACTTGGTTTCTATATCCATTGGCAGAGTAAGACATTATAGTATGATATCCTTCGTTTCCATTTGTTGGGTCAATACGGTTGCCATGGCCATATGGATATACTGGGTTATTATTCTCAATGTTATGGTAAGCGCCTAAGTTATGACCAAGTTCATGTCCGTAAGTATATGTCTCCACACAGTGTTTTGCAACAACACTGAGGGCATTTCCATTGAAAGCAAACGTATAGGCTAGTCCACAATAGTTGCTCTTTGTTGTCAAAAGAGTAGCTGTATCAGCAGTATCTCTAAGATCTTCGAAGGATTTTCTTAATGTTGTAAATTCCTCTAACTGTTCATTCATGTCATAAATGTCATTAACGTCTGCTGCTTCTACGCAATTTTTAACCACAGTAATTGGAACTTTGCTGTTAAAAAATCCTTGATTTGTTAAGGCTAACATTTTATCAACAAATTCATTTATATTGTTTGTCTGACTTGCAAACTCTCTTGTGTAGTAAACTTTAACAGATATGTATGCCATGGTGACATTATCTTCAGTATTTTCCTTTGAATCAAAATCAAATGCTGTACTGTCATTGTTAGCGCTTGGCCCTACAAAATCCTTTCCATTTTTGCCAGATTTTAGAGCATCAAGCTTTTGCATGTCCATTTCTTTCCACAAATGTCCCTCCTTCCCAATATTTTCCAATACAAATGTACGACCATCCTTGGTGTACGCAGTTCCACTCAACCCACCGCTTGCAGGATTATAGGTAACAATAAGGCTGGACCCATCTCCTTCATAATTGTAAGCATTTTCATTACCTGGAACTTTATTCTTAAACTTTAACTCTATATTCCCGGGAAGTTGAATACTTTCTTTTCCAAGAAGTTTTGCACTGATCTTATCTGCTATCTCACAGGATAAGAAAAATGGATCATCACAGTATTTGGATTCTTCTATTGAATCTGATCTAAAGGCCAGACCATCTATTGAAAAATAAGTATTTATTACCTTTTTGCTTTCATTAAAAAAATCTTTGATGAGTGAAAGATTAGTTTACCTTTTGGTTTTAAAGATACTAGCATATTATCAGGTTCTTCATCTTGAATACTATAATCTGTTCCATTCTGAGTAACCTCTTCAGGTTTTTCAGTTCTTTTTTCGATTTCATTTTTATTAGCTGTCTTTACTAGATATTTTCTGGATTCTCCTGTAATAGACATCAATAGAATTTGTAAAATGTTGTCTTGACAATGTTGAAATGGGTTTTATATTATTAGACCTAAATCTCAGTAATTGTAAAAATAAATTAATAACCATGAAATATGCGGGAACAGTTTTAAAGAGCTCCGTATAAACATTCTACCAACAGCAGTCCAATATCAGGTTAGTAAACAACATTTTATAAAGTTTTAAAGAGCTCCGTATAAACATTCTACCTGCAGCATTCCAATATCAGGTTAGTAAACAACATTTTATAAAGTCTTTAGATGTCTGGGTTTAACTATAATTCCATATTTCAATATTTATTATTTCAATATTGTAAGTAAACAACACACTTTATTCTTGTCAGTATAGATAGTATAGAAAACAAATAATTTAAAATTGCGACGGATAGTTCCCATTTTATGGATCAGTTAGACCAATAACGAAAGATTTCTAAATCGTTTGTTAGAACAATCTTCAAAAATTATTATTTTTTGATCACAAACGAATTTTTCGAAAAATCTTGAAAAAGGGTATCGTTTTTTATTGATCTAAAGTTTTTTTCTAAAAAACTTTTGAAAAGGCAATCGATATTTTACAGAACAAACTAATTTTTCAAAAAAAAACGATCGTTGTTTCACGGAACAAAGAATCTCACTGAAAGAGTGTATTTAATTGACAACAAACAAAAAATGGAAAATGAACAATAAATCTTAAAATGAATGCTTGAAAAAAATGGGTTATCAACAAATGATGAACGAACAAATTGAATAAAAATCGAACGCACCCATTTATAATACTCCGTATGATCTTTTTAAGTTAAGTTTCAATAAATTGCCATGAACTGCAGTGAAGTTCAAAAATTTATTTATTCATTATTTTGTTTTTTTCCATTATAAAAATATTGACTCTGCAGAGTCATGAAATCTCAAGTAATGTAAAAAACGCAAACTTTTACAGTAAATTTTGTTGATTTAGTAGATTTTTGTGGATTTTTGTGTAAAAATGAAAAAAAATTTATCAAATTATTACATTAGAGGCTCTATATGAGACCATTGAAGATTTTTATAAATTTAATTAATGTTAATATTAACATACAAATGTTAATGTTAATTGATATTAACATATGAATAAACATCAATAGCTTAAAGTCAATGTTAATGTTAATGGTAATGTTAACATTATATAATGACAAGCATAAACTTAAATGAATTGGTTATAGTCAATGTTAATGTTAATGTTAATGTTAATGTTAAC